TTTAAAACGTTCTGCTAGGATAAGTCAAGTATATGTCAGACTACTGCAGTCCCATTCTACTGTAACAGCTGCAATTCAACGCTGCAAGCAAGCGTAATTGTACCCACTTAGACGTTTATTATTATCTCAAATATTATCTTGCTGACTGTTTGTAAACATTCTCACAACGCTCAGCGTTCGAATCGTTTTCGAGGCATTCTCTTCGTAAGCGAACAGTTGCAAATTGAAAGTTGCAAGAGCACTTTCCATCAGGAAAGTTGATCGATTGGCAACGACAAAAATGCACGACTTAATTCTATTACGAGAGTATAAGAAGCGATAAATTGCTCGCGTTTTATCCGCGATTTTTGATTAATGAATTGACCTAGCTGCCACTTATATTTTGCAAAACATTCCTAATTAATACATTCAGTGCATTTCCGAGTCAGTCGAAAGATTTTCAATGTCATTAATTCTGGACCCCAAAGTTTTATAATCAAAACGACGAGAGTTTCGCGTTAAATTAAACTGCAAAAAAGTTAAACGAAATCTATTGAATGAAGACTATTTTATCAAAACACTGATCGACCAAATAACAGAATACATACACTTGTTGGCCAGTTAGAGTTTCAAATTCGCTGACGAGTGGATACACTTCGTCTGGATATATTTTATTGCGTATGCTTTATATATTAGTGGGAGATCTCTCGACGGCTGAGTTATTATCGATGCTCAATTAAATTAGCGATCGTTCTCGACAGATATCTCTAATAGGTTTAGAAGGCCAATAATTACGCGACGGACCTGTCGTCCATCGTTGTAGGATCTGCAAGCATTCCACTGCACATCTTTAACGGTGTGCAGCACGACTTTCGCGTTCTCTCCCTTACAGCTGTCGATGCTACTGGCACCGCTCGAGGTGGATACGCTGCTTCGAACGACCACCGTCGTCGGCTTCTTTTCTGGCTCCAATCTGTTCACGATCGACGTATCATCGTACACACCGATCGTGCTTCGAACTTCGTTCTGCTCGAAGAACCGTTCCTTCTCGAAATCGCGAGTCTCGCTCGGCACCACGCCTTCCTTCCACTCCACTTCGTTCTCGTTGCTCATGTGACCGCTGTCCTCCGAGCAATTCCCATCAGATGCGTAACCATTGTAGTCCTGTATATTCTTAACGTCGACGTTCTTCTTCAACGTGGTCACCGTGGTTGGTTCGATCGTCTCCGACGTGGATCTACCCTTGATCCACGGATCTTTCGCCTCTTTCGTTGCCTCGGCGTTCTTACAGTTGAAGAAATTCACCAGGTGTTCGATGTCCTTGGCCCTCTTGCCCAACGATTGCTTGCTCCTCGGTTCCTGTCTCGTGTCGTTGTTTCTTTGACAAGCAGATTTCACTGCAGGCTCCGCGTTGCAAATTGGAGAAACTGTACAATCGATCTTCTTCCTCTCGTCTTCTTTCGTTGCCAATCCACTGGCTGCTTGTTTCTCCCAGTTCTTCCTCAGCTCTTGAATACTCGACGTTTCCTTTTTCCTCTTCGACTCGTCGACAACAACATCCTGTCTATCGATCTTCTCGCGTTCCCGATCTCTCCCGAATCCTCTGACCAAGCTCAACGTGTTCTTCTTAGTCTCGTCCAAATTACTCTTCTCGTTACCTTCCACTAGCTTCACCAATGGTTCGTCCCTTCTTTCCTGGATTCCTTCGATCCTAATCACCATCGCGGTGTACTGTTCCGACTGAACGATCTTTTCAGCCGGCTCGCTGCTTCTTCGTTCGACGTCGATCTCACGCACCTCGTAGACGGAATTGGCTCTACGAGGAGGAGGAGCAGCAGCAGCAGCAGCGTCCACGCAGTCGGTAGACGCGACCATCGTCGCTCGGGCGTGTTGCTCGTCGTCGTCGACGTCGTCGTCCAGCTGCGCCATCAGCCGTGCCACACGTTCTTCCAGGTTGCTGGTGTACGCCCGTGCTGGCTGACGAGTCTCCGTCGGCGCGCAGCCGAACGCCTCGCGACAATTCTCGTAGATACGTTCGTCCATCGAGCGATCGAGATCGATGTCGTCGAACGTCACCACCGGCTGCATCGTCGGCTCCACGGCTCGATCTACCTGCGATAGATCGGCCAGAGATCGACCCACGCGCGTGTTCCGATGCGCCAGAAGCGGGATCTTGCTCGGCCTTGCCGAAACTCCGTACGTCCTTCTACCCGGGGCGTCGTTCCTCGACGTAGCCTGCACGTTCCACAGGCTGGCAGACCTGCTGATCGATTTCCTGCGCGGTATCTCCTGCTTCCTCTCTTTCTCCGTCGTTTGCCTGCCCGACTCGGAGCTGAACGAGCTGCTCATCTTGAAGCTTTCCTCCGAGTTGCCGCGAATATCCACGGATACGCAGCCCAAGCTTACCGAACGATCCAGAGCGGCTTTCTTCCTCAGAGCTTCCGGTTTCTTGGGTAACTTCGCCGGGGCGTAGGACAATCCTTTCTTCAGAAGCGTCCTGTCCTCGAGGATCGTGCAAGACGGGGAGGAGCTAACAGACCTCGCCACTTGCCTCTTTTCTTGGCTCTTTGTAATCGTCGACGGGCATCTCGTTGCCTCCGCTCGACCGTCCGCTGTTGATCGACGAGACTTGCTCGGGAAACAGGAAACGCGCGTCTTGGTCGATTCGGTGGAAAAAGCCGCTCGAGAAGCAGCATGGTCGTTAGAGACGATCTTGCCGGTTGTTCTAGAAGGCGCTGTGGTTTTTGCCACTCGTTGAGATTTATTCGTGGGCGTGGATCTGCTCTGATCGGGCTGTGCTTGCTTCCGAGGAGCCATCGACAAGGCTGGCTTCGACACGTTCGGGCTGCTTCTAGCCTTCACCAGTCGCGAACCCGCGTTACCTGGCCATCTGGTTACGTTCTCTAACATTTCGACGGTGTGGTTTTCTCTTGAGACTGTGAAACAGATTTTTCAAAAAGTGGTATAAAGCTAGTTTACGCGTCGATTCGATTATACACGTATCATCGGTAACAAATCGAGTGTCTTTACGATGTCACTGTATCTTCGAATTTAACTTTGCGGAGTCGAATTCTCTTGTCGACGAAACTGAAGGAAGAAATTCGTTGATTTTTCGATCTGGCTTCTTAACTGGTTCGAAGTATCACCGACTCCTCAGTTCCAATTCATTGGCATCGAGCCATTCGTTGTCAAGCGATTTCAAATTGCCGCTTTCTCGTGCACTCGCGGAGCAATTAATATTCGTCCGGTTCGAGAGGACGTCGCTACCTCCGAATTAATCGCGACGACGATGCGCTCTTTCGCTGGCGGCGTACGCGCGACCTCGATATCCTCGAGGAATCCAAGCGACTTTTCCGAAGTGGACTCGCTTCAACAGCCGATGCTCCGTATCCCGTCTTCCTCTTCCGCGCCGATCATCACCGGCATTTTCCTCGAATCAGTAGCCGTCATCGGCGAGAACCGCTGCCCCTGGACAACAACAACAACAACAACCGTGTCGTACGTTTCGAAGCGCTCGAACGCGTTCAGGAATGGACCTCGAAGAGGCTTCCTCTTGCGTGGAGAACGAGCCGCGACTAAGTACCGTAAAAGCCGCGTAAAAGTGGACGCGCGTTTTATGGACGCCAAAGGGAGAATGAGGAGGAGAAAGAGAAAGAGA